CAGTGGTAGCATTAACATTTATTATCCTGTCTTTCTTTTACAATAGTGTAATAAGGTAAGACAAAGAAGTGAAAGAACCTGTCTAAAAACTTATGGTAGTCATTTATTGAGTCGGTAGCTACAAGCTCCACAGCTTATGGTGGAAAAGCAGGAGCAAATGTCATCAGCCCTTTATTAAAATATCAATGAAACCTTATATTAAATAATTAAAATAAGACAAATAGAGGACTGTAGCCCTAAAATTGGAGGGTATGTAACCTGGGTGGTGAATAAGTCTTAACCAGGAGGAACTAAGCTGTTCCCTTCCCTTGAACCAAGACAGACCGAAAGGGAAAATAAAAATAAATTAGGCTAGAAGAAACTCTCTAGATATTCAGAATATTCCAGGTGTTATAAAAAGAGAAGCTTTTGGAACTGCACAGGAAAGGGAGTTGCACAGCATGTTTACAGTCGCATTTGCAGTGCCCCTGTCAACCCTACTAGAAGCTCTTGACAACTTTGGAGCCAAGAAAAAAAACAGATACTGGATCTCTCCTAACCTGCTCCAGTCTGAAACTCCAGATTATCCTCTGTGTCATCTTATTCCTATAAGGAATCAAGTCAGAAAAGTAGAATTGCAGAAGACTACAAAGGAACTTCTGAAACTAGTAAGTTCTGTCCAGTCACCACCTTCACATTCTTATCACCAACCTGTTGTTCTGGCCCACTTCCCACTCCCTTCTCTGGAAGCTATACCCTCTGAGCACTTCACAATTACACCTGCAATGAGTTGAACCATTTACTACAAAGATGTGCTGAAATCCTCACCTCAATAACTCAAAATGTGACCATTTAGAAAGAGTCAATGCAAATATAATTAACCACAATAAGATCATCCAAGGGTAAGACAGGCTTTTAATTCACTATGGCTGCTTGTTTTTGAGAAAAGAAGATACAGAGACACAACAAAGCAGATGATGCCTCTGTGATTAAAGAGGCAGAGATCGAAGTGATGTGTCTACAAGTTAAAGAAGACTAGGGAGTGCTGGCAAAGCCCAGAAGCTCCAAGGGAAAGAAGATCCTCCCCCAAGGTCTTAGAAGAGGCATAGCCATGAAGATGGCTTGGTTTCAGCTTTCTAGTCATCAGAGATGAGAGAGAACAAGTACTATTTTAATTCATCCAGAATGTGATTCTTTGTTATGACTGCTCAAAGAACTAAACACCCTTGTCAATCACATAGCATGATTCTCTGTAACAACTCAATACACTCAATTTTGCCCACTGGGAAAAGTTGCTGTTTTGTTATGAAAAACTATTCAAGATCCTTAGATATTCAATACTCAATTTTGCCCACTGGGAAAAGTTGCTGTTTTGTTATGAAAAACTATTCAAGATCCTTAGATATTTTTTTCCTACACACACACACACACACACACACACACACACACACACACACACACACACCACACACACACCACACCACTACCACCACCACCACCACTACCACCACCCCCACCACCATCACCTCCTCTACCACCTCCATAATAAAAACATTGAGAAGTGACCAAGAGCCCTCCACCAAGAAGAAAGATCACTACCCTAGGCTTTCTTTCCCACTACCATATAGAGGCCATTATTCTCGTGAAAGTCATCCCCAGAAGTCTCTCCTCAGCCTCCTTTGTGTCTCATTCTGTACGTTCTACCTCAACATCCACCATTCCTTTCTTAACTATGATTTTGTGAGAATGATCTTCAGGTCTGTGTCTTGGTTCCTGCTTAGCTAGAGCAATGTTCGCTCCTTGCTGCTCTTTTCCACAGAGATCTGTATTGTTACCTGAAGCCCAGTGTGTTCCTGATGAAACTCAGTGCTCTCCACCCCAAACCAGCTCTTTCCACTATTATTCTGGGCACATTACTTGCCTTCTCTGAGCTGCAGGTATAGAATTTTATGCTCAATTTTAACTTCTTTTCTACCTTCAAGATCTACATTTAATCAGTTATGGAGTTCCATGGACTCAACCTCAGAAATATCTCTCATATCTGTCTACTTTTCTATTTCTATTATCACCTAACTGGTCTCTCCATCTTCCACTTAAGCACTTATCCTGGTGGATTTCCTCAGCCCTTAAAAGTTTCCTCCAGCATTCAGGAAATCAAGGCTAAAATAAATGCCCCATGATGTACAATACTCAAACGCATGTCAATGTCTACCCTTTCAGTTTTGTTTCCTCTACCTTATTTTATACTACCCTCTAGTCAAATTGTGCTATTTATGAAATTCCAAATGTGCTTGGGGGGTTTGTTTGTTAAAGAGATAGCCAAAATATGGCAACTGTGACAACTGGGAAATCAAGAGCCTCCGGTATCTCCTTCACAAGGATACTGCCTAGAGAACAGCCACCACCAACTGCTGCATCCATCAATGGCTGCATGTTCACAACTACCATTCATTCATAACCTTCATTCTCCCAGATTCACAAAGAACACTTCCTCACGTCTCAAATTTTGTTAAAATGAAAAACACTCTAATGAAACAGAACAAGCAATTTATCTCTAAAAGGATTTTCATTCTGTTATCATTCCATTACGATTTGCCTGAATTAATCAGAGATAAAACATAGGATGCTTCAATTTACACTGAAATTTCTTAGCAATCAATGTTGCTAAAGAGAGAAACTCAGAACAGAGTACGGAAAGTTTTATTTATAGGAGTTGAGAAATACATCCTTTTATTAATGGGAGGATACACCAAAAAGGAGAATTTATACATCTCCCTTTCAGATAAGACACTAAGGTTTCTAAATAAACATTTCTAATGTGGTGGCAAAGATGCCATCAATGTTGCAGCAAGAGCAGCAAATGTTAAGGAAGGAGCTAATGAATTTTCATTAGCGTCATCAGATAACTCACAATGGGTTAAGTTGCTACCATTGGCCATTCCCATTAATATCGTTGTCATGTAAAAGGTTTAATTTTCAGCTATTTTTGTTCTAGATAAAAATCTTTGTCATTAAAATGAGGGATGATTTTGATATTTAATATATTCCATGGCATACTCTGTCGTGGTACTAATTTGGCCTTTTCAGTATTCTGCATATTAATTGACAATCCATCCCTGTTCCATTCCCCAGATAAGTGAGAACTGAAATAGAATGGACAGCCAATCAAGTCCCAGAATACTGAAAGGGCCAACATAGAAAAAAAACGTGTTGCTCTAATCAGGGGCATACACAAGGTGCTAAAATTATTTATCCCATACTAATGACTAAGACACGGGAACCATGAATGGCAGGATCTGACTCCTCTGTGACAGCACTACCAGAGCACAGCAACACTCCTAAGAAAGGGAAAGTAAGTATTCCTTATTTTAGTCAAACAATCAAATTGTACTCTCACTTAACTTTTAGAACAATATATTATATCAGATTCTACAATAGCCAAATTATGTCCTTCTTGAATTTTTCATAGTAACCTGCTTCACAGACACAAAATGTATCCTGGCATTGAAGAATGCTCAGAATCACTGCAGAAAACTTATTTCAATACATACTCTATTAGTTTCCTCCTCATGTTGAATTATCACTCTGGTGAGAACTGACATCAGTGGCTTGAATAATGGATTAGCCCTGCCTCCAGAAGCTATTGTTTTCATCTGAGTAGGCATTTCCTTTAAGGATAAACTTGGGACTTTTATCCAAGAAAATAATATAATGTAAAGTTGAGCAGGAGGTTTTAAATCATTTTTATAGTCACAGTGATATAGCTTAAAATTAAAAAAAAACAGCAATTATGAGATTGCAGACAGAATTGGTATGAACACTTGTCCACTTAAATCAACTCACCCAATTTAACCAACTAGACGAGGTTCTTTCTAGAGTTTCTGCAACAGCCCAGCCAATAGAACAAATGCCAAATACACAAGATACTGTACATAAGAAAGTTCCCTGTCCTATTATGCCCAAAAGAGAAGATCTAGGCATGTAAACTCTTTAAAGTGAAAATCTTATTTTAATAACTTTAGATTCTTTATCCCTAGTAATGATGGCTAAATTCAAATCAGCTCCTGAACTGAAACTTCCAACAGAGACAATTAACTGATCAACACAATTTCTTTCTTGAAGTTCAAAACTACTTAAAAATAGTCAATAGACATTTGAACCTTTTAGAAAACTATTGTTATTATCCATACAGAAAAATTCATTCATTTTAACAAAAATATTATTCAAGTGATAATATGTCCCCTTTCATCTACAGAGAAATATAATTGACTAATTGTCAATAGATTCATGCTATAAGTTATTTTCTGTTGTCATTCTGTTTTGTTTTGTTGTGTCCTAGGAGTAGAATGGATTTACAATCTCATGGGAAACCATACATGTTGGTTTGAAATTAAAATATTTACAGAGATTTTAAAAGCTCTTTGAAGACAGCCCAGGACAGAGCTTGTCAACACTTTTCCCTAACTAAGTTTTCATAATTTCCCCTTCATTCCTCTGTAATCTCTAGAGTTTATATATGAATGAAAAATGCAAAAAGTCAAATAAGACAGTGAGAATATTACTTAGGAACAGCCCAGGGCTGCTCTGACACTGCTGTAAGATGATTGCTAGTGTTAATCTCTCTAGTATTGAAAGTTAAATTCCACTGACTTTTTAAAAATTTGATGACTTGCTAATGTAAACTTCTATCTAGAATAATCAAATACTATGTCAATTATTCAAATTTACAGTGGCTATAAGGTGCCAACCAACTCCTCATCAAAACAAATAACTCCAAAAAGAAAAAAAATGCCTAAGTCAGGACCTCTATTTCTCAAATTAGCACCAAAGTATCACCTTAACAGACCTATGAACAATGAAATCATTTATAATGTACGCAGCTTCCCTGCACAGAGGACAGCCTGGGCCATGCATCTTTGGGAGTTCTAATTATCCCATGCATAGCAGAGAGCATTTGGAGGTGTCCAGATTTTAGCGCCCTATAACCTCTAAATGCAATCCTCTGGTAAATACATGCTCACCAATCTCCCTTGAGATCTGGGTGAAGGCCTCGACACCACTCTCTCCATAGTTTCCCTCGGAAGCCAATGTTGACACATAATTCCATCCCAGGGCTGTCACAATGTCCACCATGGCTTGAGCTTGGTAGGAGTCAGGAGGGACCACCCGAGAAAAGAAGTCATACCTGGTGTTATCACTCAGCTCTGGGGCTGTGGATGCATAGCTAATTTGAGGTATCTGCAAAACAAATGACAGGTCATTACAATCCATGAAGTATCTTATAGAGTGACAGACTATCACAAGGACACAAAAGACCACTCAGTCAAAGCTATAACACAATCCTAGATATGTTCACCTGAAGGCAAAATATGGTTTTAGGAACACCAAGTTAACTAAAAAGCACTTTTGTAGCAGTTCATGGGCTCACTTTCTTTTGAAGCACATATTTGTAAACACTGAGAACAATGTCCTTCTGCTTCAGGTTCCACTGGTCAGAAGCCAAAGGAAAACATTTACGCTGTTTGTTGCTGCTTTTTTTATCCTGTAAAAGATTGTTCTGGTGTGGGAATGAAAGAGAAATGAAGCCATAGTACAAACATACATCAGAAAAGATCATCTCTGGAAACGTCTTTGGCTTTAGGCTTTTGGGAATTTAACAGGGACTGTAATAGGAATTTCTTTTGACACTTGATATTTAAAATTTTAAATTATAATTTTGATAAATAATTATAAATGCATACTTTTCAAATTCTCTTCACTGATGACTGGTATTATCATTGACTAATGCAAAAATATTTGAAACTAGTCAATTGTGTACTGTCTAATAAAAACATTCTTCCAGCCTATAGAAAAAGCACCTAGATTACAAATTTCTTGGGAAAAGATACTATTTTCTGTCACAGACAGGATAAATTGCTAATAAATAATTATAAATGCATACTTTTCAAATTCTCTTCACTGATGACTGGTATTATCATTGACTAATGCAAAAATATTTGAAACTAGTCAATTGTGTACTGTCTAATAAAAACATTCTTCCAGCCTATAGAAAAAGCACCTAGATTACAAATTTCTTGGGAAAAGATACTATTTTCTGTCACAGACAGGATAAATTGCTACATAGTTTTTTTTTTTTAATTTGGTAATCCTGTCATTTCCTCAATAATCTGAGAGCATACACTATGTGCCTGGACATCTCATCACTCTGCAGCTGCTACCCTGAGGTGTGGGTGTAAGTTGAGAGGTAAAATTGACTCCCCGAGACCCTGACTCAGTGATTTTATTTAGAAAAAGAACCTCAGTTCATATGTAAAACAATTAACCTTATTCTCCATAAGATCCTGCAGCTAGCATAATTCCTATGCCAACATCCTCAATATTTATACAGTTCTCAAATTAAAGCCCTACTGGAAACTGAAGTGAGAACTTTTTAAAGACTCAGTATTCAAAGGGGATATCAACGGAATTGTAGCTCTGGCTTGCCACATCCCAGGTTGTACGTCCCAAGTTCCCACAGTCATACACCAATCTCTAGCCAGATGATTCCCAAACCACTACTGATGTCTTTGAAAAGCGCTCAGTATCTGAATACTCCTTAGTCTACAGAGTTCAACTCCATAATGGCAGTCAGTGAAATGACACTGAACTTCCCAGGATATAATTAAAAATATTAGTCACAGACTGAAAGGCAGAATAATGTCTCCAAGCACTACAAGTTTCATTCAGCTTCTGTGCAACCTGGCTCAATATTTCCACCAAGTTTGGCAGTGACAATGAGTGCTTGGATCAACCTACTTAACCATAAATTCTTCCCAGTTCTGTTCTCCTGATGAGGACCATGATAACTTGCTTAACATTGTGTGACCATGAAAACTGTCTTTCCTGCCTCCCCTAGCTTTCTAAACCTCCAGACACACTGGTCTTGTCTTGACAGATAGATGGCTTGATTAGGCTGTGTGCATTTGTACTACCTGACTATTCAACAAGATGCTCCTCCAAATCTTAAACCACAGACGTCTGGGTCTTCACCTTTTCTTGCGAATGCTAGAGGACCTGAGAAAAGAGACCACTGACCTCTCAGTGAGCTCTTCCACTGTCCTATACTAGATAAAAATTTCCCAGAGATCAAAACCATGTGTATCTGTGTTCTAATAAAAAGGTTTAGCAGTCTGACCCAGTGTGCATGATTTGTGTGTGTGTGTGTGCATGTGTGTGTGTGTGTGTGTGTGTGTGTGTGTGTGTGTGTGTGTGTGTTGGGGGAAGAGAAGAACATTCTAGAGGATCCTCCACACAATAGGATGGGACTCCTACATGGAACCTCACCCACCCACGGCTCAGGGACAATTGAAAAAGAGGAGGCAGAAAGACTGTAATAGCCAGGGCTGGTTCATGAACCCAGGGAGGCTTCCAGGCCACTGGAGGCTTGTGGCAGTGTGGCAGTGGTGGTATCGAGCGCAGGACCCATGTCAGCTCAATTAAACAAGGGCCCAAAGGGAGGTGAAAAATAGGTGGCAGGCCAGCACTAGACTGAGAACAGTTTGACAATGATTGCTGCTGGGTGAGGGAGAGTATGACTTACAACCATGAATGGGCTGACTAGACTCCAGTGGATGCATCACTGAAGGACATTTGAGTACAAACACATGAATGAATAGGACTCAGCATGTATGGCAGAGTGCATAGGGTTCAGTGGGGGACAGGCAGAGACATGGATAGAGCAGGGGATCTGGATTTGAGTGGGAAATATTGTAAGAAATTTTAAAAATCTCAATTAAAAAAAATCCCAGAGATCAAAAAACCATGTGTAGCTCTAGGTTCTAATAAAAGGTTTAACTGTCTGACACAGTGTGCATGATTGTGTGTGTGTGTGTGTGTGTGTGTGTGTGTGTGTGTGTTGGGGGAAGAGAAGAACATTCTAGAGGAACTTCCATAACACTATAGCATTTTCTTGTCCTATTTAAAAACATAATCCTCCCACTTCCTCAGCTACTCGGAGTCCAGCTGTAAAATGCTTACACAACCCCCACCCCGCCTGTAATAATGAGCCACCCCTTTCTAAAAATGAGCACAAAGTGTGAAAATTGAGTGTTTGAAACCAAAACTAATTATCTCAAATTACTACCTTCAGTCAGTCACTTCCAGGGCTGTTTAATTAGCAGTCAGCATCATGTTTAAGATTAATTAAACAGGTGTAAAGGGTATATAAAATAAAATTCCAAACAGAAGATGGTTGTTTGATTAATCCAGTAATGGACTTTATCCCCAGTCTTGAAGATTCTTCTCTTTGGAGATCAATGTGTGAAAAAGTAATGTAAGAGTACGTGTTTGCAATTTTATTTGTTCAATTCTTCCTATTTTGCAGTCTACAATAACGTCATGGTGCAGTGATAGTATTTCAAGACTTTTTAAGTTGTCCGAAACCACATCTCATTTTTACTTTATTGCCATAGAGCACTAAACATTGTCTCATTAAGCATTTTAATTCCTATGCCAGCATCCCCAATATTTCAACTACCCTCAAATTAAACCCCTACTGGCAACTGAAGTGAGAATGTATTAAACACCTGGATGTTTCTTTTTCTTTTCTCTACATCAAATCCATCCTAACTATGCCCTTAACCCTGGAGGTTTTATCTATCACAAACAACAACAATATAAAAGCACTGGTGTAAGAGAGAAGTGGAAAGGGAAATGATGAAAAACAGAGACAACATGCAAAGAAAAGGAGGCATTAAGGAAGGAAGAATTCATCACTCACCTATCCTTTTAAAGAAGTAATATCCTTTATAATGCTAAATCCTATTAGCTAATTTTAAGAATAAAGCCAAACTCTTGTCTGGCTCATGATGCTGATCAGGCTCTGTACCAGCCTCCCTCCTTCCTGATGAGTTCCATCCATAATGCTGCAGCACATGCACCCCTGTCCACATGTCCCACCATGCAAGAAGGCTGCTCTCCTCCACTTGTTGATATTATGTACACTTCCAATACCACCCCTTCCGTGAAAAGCCTTCCCAGGCTCTATCAAGCAGTTTTCCTCCCTCCCTTATCCCCTTTCATCTGAAATTAGAATCCCGACTATGGGCTGGCTCCAGATCCTCTTGGAACTGAAGTCTCTATTTGATATCTATAATACTTTACAAAGCAAGTGTGAGATGAATGATCAAAGGGAGTTCACGAATTAACCTGTGACAGGAAATTTGATACTGCCTCCTCTCCCTGTATTCCACTACAGTATGACACAGGCTTTTCCCCATTTGCCCCTCAACCCCTCTCCACCATGCTGAGTCTTAAAGCAACTGTTCCTTACTACTCAGCCTCCTGGGTTTTCTGGTTCTAGCTTCCAGTTGAGTTTGTTCAGAAGAAGACACAGCATGAGACAGAATCTGGATGAGACAGAAATCAGGATTTATTTCTCCAGCTTCTTCCCCCACTAACCAGGTAGTTGTCTACCTGACCCTTCAGCCATAGCTCCTACCAAGCTCTAGTAGGCATTCTCAACCGTGACCCCTGCAGTTCTCCCCACTGCTGATTCCTTAGTACTTCAGCAACCCATGACAGTTCCTGTCACTGTACCCACACCTTATAAATAGGCCTTCTGATGACCTCTCTTCTATTACCTCTCCAGCGTGCCAAAAGCCTGGCTACTACGACTAACACACAGCCTGTGACGTGACAGGTCTCTATGCTCTCTACCCTGAAGCCTACTCTAACCTCTTAGTCCTTTGTCCATATTCCCTTTTAACATTCTACCACTGTCCTCACATGGCTTTTCCCTTTTCTTTCTCTTTTAGCTCCTAAAGGCTTCAAACTGCATCTTTGAAAACACCTGTCATTTTGCTTTTCCTCATTTCTCACTTTCTTTGTGCTGAAGTTTCATAAGACTATAAAGCATGCTTAAAATAAAGGCATGGTTCCATTACCCAAATAAAGCATGTTGAAGCAATTAATTATCCAACTCCAAACTCTCGTTCACAGACCCCCCCTTTAAAAAATGTTTCAGCTTCCTCTCTTCAGTAACTGTGGTTTGAGGAGCTGTTACAGAACAAAGATTTCATATCTAGTCTGTTCCTTCTTTACTCTCCCCCAAAAGACAGGGGAAAAGGCAGAGGTGTCCATTTGCTGGGCAAGAGAGCATAGCAAGGTCTCTTAATTCTCAGACCCACTCACAAACCTCCCAGGCTTCTCTCTATGGGCAGGAGCTCCCTTCCTGGGGCAGAAGCCCGCCTTCCTTCTTA